TCAAAGCTTATGTGGCCCTGGCGGTGGTGGTAGCCGCACTCTGTGTGGAATGGACCATGATCCATCTGGGCACTGGTCTGGACTGGATTTCATAGGCCTGAGAAATGCAGGCCCTTAACCAACACCCCACGGTGTTAGATGTCACCTTCTGATCCATGGTTGTTGGTTGAAAGGAGATGAATGATGATTCTGTTTTCCTGACAGCTGCTGTTCACCTGATATACTGGCATAGGGCCCTTCTCACATCTATGTGGTGCCACCTTCTTTTGTGAGGATGTTGTGGTCATGGACAGAAGTTAGGGAGAATAATCTCCTGGGCCCTGTGAAACCACGAGTTGATTTTGGGTAGGAAAGCTGAATCCAGCCATAAAACAACTCTGTCTGCATGAAAAATGCAGAGGTCTTAGCATACCAAAAGGGTCGCCAACTCTGATACTCTGCAGGCCGAAGTGATGGCCACTAGGAAGACAGTTTTGAGCATTAAGTCTCAGACTGATGGTACGTATTGGCTCAAATGGAGCTCCTGTGAGAGCCTGAAGTATGACAGGTATCTCCCAGGTGGGAAAACAATGCACTGGTGGTGGCCTGAGATTCGTCGCACCTTTCAAAAAGGCTTAGACTCGGACTCGGGGATGTGACAGACTCCGACACCCTTTCACAAGAATTATGGTAGAAAGGGCTGCCAGCTGACGATGCAGGGTATTGGGTGCCAGACCCCTATCGAGTCTGACCTGTAAAAATTCCAACCCCTGTGGCACGGAGGCCAACCAGGGCTCAATGTTATGAGGCCTGCACCATGGGAAGAAAGTCACCCAAGTGGCATGCGTGTTGTGAATGGACGCCTGGCAGCTTGAATAGTGTGGATTACCTTGCTGGAAAAGTTAGGACACATCAGGATATCCCTTTCAAATGCCACACGGCAAGATGTAGCCACTGGGGCTCTGGATGGAGAAGAGACCCCTAGTTGAGGGATATACTGTTGTCCAGAATTCTCCATGGTCTGGCGACGGAGAGATTGACCAAGTCGGTGTACCAGGGGCTCCTTGCCAGTGAGGAGCTATGAGCAGTACTTCCGCTCCTTCTGTCAATATCTTCTGAATGACTCTCCGGATGAGAGGCAGAGGTGGAAAAGCGTAGAGCAGACCTGGTGGCCAAGGGCTGCGCAGAGTGTTTACTCTCTTTGCCCCTTGTATGGGAAATTGGGCGAAGAATCTTGGGAGATGCATGTTGCTGGGATGTGTGAACAGGTCCCCGGTTGGAATCCTGAACCGGTGTGTCAGTTGGGAAAGAGTGGCCAATGACACTGACCTCTGCGACAGTACCTGACTGACCAACTTGGGGAGGCTGGTGCATCTGTCCGGAGATAGGTATACCACACATGTGGCTGAGTTGATCATGGCTCCCAGATGCACCAGGCTGGTCAATGGGAAGAGATGACTCTTTGGTAGATTCGCCGAGAAGCCGTGCTGATGTAGGATCCAGAGAGTGATATATAGGTCTCAATGTGCTTGTGCTGGGGATGACAAAAGAATCAAGATGTTGTTGAGATAACACTGGATTCTTACCGGAAATGACCGCAGATATGCCGCCAACAGCTGCCAGCCGCCTTGTGAAATTCCTGGGTGCAGAGGACAGACCGAACAGCAGCGCTCTGTACTGGTAATGCCGGTCTGCGAACTGGAACCACAGGAACTTCCTGTGAGCTGGACGTATGGGCATGTGGAGATAAGCCTCCTTGATATCTATGGACATTAGCCAATTCCCTTGACGGATGCGGCCCAAGATGGATTTGAGGGACTGCATCTTGAAGTGTTTGTACGCTAGATGCACATTTAACTTTTTCAAGTCCAAAATAGCTTGCCAACCTCCAGAGCTTTTGGGCACTAAGAATAGGATTGAGTAAAATCCCCTCCCCTTGTGTGCTGATGGAACTGGTTCTATGACTAATGTGTCCAGCAGGTGCTGGATCTCGGTGTTCATGAGATTCCTCTTTATTTGACACCGGAACGGGACACCTGATAAAACATCTCGGGGTGGTGGCGGGGAATTCGAGGGTGAGGCCCAGCCTCACCTTCTGTAACACCCAGGTAGACGCTTCCCACTGTCTTACGAAGTGGGCAAGTCGTCTGCCGATGGGATGGGGTGGTTGGGAATCCCTTGTATCTGCAAAATGGTCAGTTGCTTGACCCCCAAAAGGACCATTTCACAGGAGGTTGGTGCTGCTGTTGCTGCCTGCCTCTGTCGCAAAACCCCGACCTATCCTGAAATCTGTCTTGGTACCTGTCAAATCCCTGATTATATGGGCAATGGTACTGGGATGAATATTGAGAATATTGTGAGACTCCAAATCCCTGGTCAGCCGACTGAAAGGACTCACGTCTAAAGTAAGGTTGTGCCCTGTGATCTGCCCGCCTGTGAGCCAGGGGAAGCACCTTACACTTGTCCTTATTCTCCACAAGTATAGGGACAAGAGCTTCTCCAAAGAGAAGTCCGCCATTAAATAGAGCAGAGGCAAGACACCACTTGGAGCGCAAGTCAGCCTGCCAGTGACGTAGTCACAGGAGCCTACAGGATGTGACATTGGAGGCTAACCCTCTAGACGCAAACTTAGGGTTGAGCATCGCGTCCAATGAAAACTCAATGGCTGCCAATAACTTGTTAATGTCTTGGTGGAGCCGGAGGTTCTCCAGAGTGACTCTGGCCTGCAGTTGTTTGAGCCAGACCATAGAGGTCCTATTGAAAAAGGATGCCACCATAGATACTGTCAGCGCCCAGGTGGCCACCTGATGTGTCTTGTGAAGAGTCATCTCCGCTTTGCGGTCCTCCGCTTTTGATCCATCCAATACGTCAGAAGGCACAATAGCTGGCGGATCCACTGGAGGAACTTGTAATAAAGTTTCCAATTCTGAGCTAGCACTATAAAGCTTACTATCATTATTGCTTGGAGGAGGCACTGAACTGGGTTGGGCCCACTGTCTTTGAATGACATCAAGAAAGTTTGGGCACTGGAACTGCTTCTTGTTCTGGTGTCTGCTCTGCGAAGAGGCACAGTGAAGTCTAACCCCAATGCTGATCCAGCAGGATTAGCAGTACCCCCCACGTTAGCTGTGGTCTTGGCCTTGTAAAGTAAGGACTTAAAACAGATGGTGGCGAAATAGGCCCAAGAAGGCTGGCTTTTCAGGGACTTGGCCTTAATCGTCTGAGAATTTCTGATCCCCTAGGTCCTCCTCTGCAATCAGTGAATCATCATTGCACAGAGAATGAGCCAGTGAAGAAGGCTCCTGAGTAACTACTAATGGTCTGGTCGATGACCGTGACCTGGACCCTTGTTCCCTGTGCTGTAATTCAGATTCCACCCCTTGTGCTATAGCTGTAGAAATGAGGTGGCGGATCTCTCTAGGCAGGAACAGGGCTTGACTTTCCACAGGGCGGAGCCATGCCGTTGTGGAGCTGAGGGAAGTCAAAGGAACCGATTGTTCTGGTTCATTGTCTAGCAACGTGCCAACACCCAAAAAGCCAGATGGAGAACCAGGGTCCAGACCGACCTCCTCTGCTAACAATCCCTGTGAAACAACATCAGGAGACCACTATTCCTGTGTGGCCTGCATAGGAGGAGGAGATGCAGGTGGAGAATGAGATGAAAGGTTCTCCAATACTAAGGCCAGTGGTGGTGGTGGTGGGGAATCCTGGCCTCGTACTCCTCTGATGGATTTAGAGGAATGCTTTCCAGAGATTTTCTACTTGGCTCTAGACTCCTTATTAGCTGCGGCTGTGGGAACTCGAGACACAGATCTACTGGCCCTAGGCCTGGTATAAGAGTTCCTGGTGGTAACTCTGACTGCCCTAGTATTGGAAGTGCCAGGAATGGCCTGAGAGCTTGGGGAAACCTCTGCCCCTGTATTACTTTCAGAAATGGAGCGATCAGCCATGATAGGAGAAATACCTTTCCTAAATAAACCGTTAATGTGGGCAAAAATTAACGGTAGGCCCTCTGCATAGGAGTCCTGAATCTCCGCAATTTGCGGCAGAGGCAAAGGAACTGTGGCTGGCAAAGTCTCTGCGGTTTCCCCCCCCCCTCCAAACCTCAGTCAACAAATAAATGCAATGTCCAGAAGCAAAGCTGTGGTTGCACTGTACTTAAAGGAGACGCTGAAATCGTGCCGCACTGAAGCAAGACGATCCACGCAATGGTGAGATCGGTTTCCTGGCGCTGAAAAGGAACTTCCTGGCGCCAAATAAAATGGCCTCCTTGTATTCAAATTAGCTCCAAAATGGCCAACCGTCACTCAAGCAGTAGCCGCTCTCAATTGGTGCACGATTTGAATCTTTTTTCCTCAGAGACTGAAAAACACGGTGCACCGGGTCTTTCAGCTCCCAATTGCGCAGGGCTGGCTCTAAAGGCAATCCCAGTAATAGGCAGCAAGAGAGTGGTGTACCTGACTCTCAAAACCTCACCTGCTGCACTCGTGGCAATTAAGACACCTGTCCGAGTGATCGGACAATACTCCGGCTACAAATAGATCGCCTCTGGTCGCTGAATCTACTAAGTGATCTCTATTTGTGGTGGTTCTATCCAGCAGACCGGGGGAAACTAGCGCATGCAACTGCAGCCGAACAAACACAAGTAATCCTTAGCAATTCATAATTAATTCAGAGAAATTACAGAAAGAAATTTAAAAACTGAAAATAAATACACTAATTCAAATAAACTTGCTTAGAAAAATTATTTATGTCTTTCCAAGGCTGGACTGAGTTAAAAAAAACTGGGCTCTACCAGCTAGAGGGGGCATGGTCAAGACTTTTCTAACTCAGTCTCAAGGCTATTGGACAAAAGTTAAACCTATGCTTGGATTCTCCAAGTGGCACACAGGAGAACATAGCTCATTCTTTCATTTCATTCATTTATTCTCTATCGCTACCTATTTCAATAACTCTGGGTGGCTTCCAAAAATGTCATACAATTAAAACATTTACAACTTTATAAAACAATGTGTCTCTCATTAACATGTAAGGACTAACATCCACATGAATATTTATTTCTCTGCATATTGCTCATGTTACATCAATAAAGTTTCCATCACATTGTATAAACTATCCCAGCAACATATTTGTGCCAAAAGCTAAATTTGAATACATTTGAGATGTTGCCTCTCTACTCAATTTTCACAGCTTTATTTTACAATTTGTTTAAATGCAGAGATTGTAAAATAAAGCTGCTAGAATATATGTATATATGAAACAACTTCTATGCAATAGCTATTTAAGCATTCAATTGAATTTTTATTGAACCATTTTGATTTTATTGATAAATTTTATACATCCCCATTCATAAAATAATGTCTCATGTTTAAGTCCACATACATTTTCTACTTTCTTAGAAAGCACAACAAAATATCAGATATTGAAGCTGATTTAAATTGATTATTTTCCTCGCAATTGATCATATCACATTCATATAATAAATCTGTACATGTATATAATGTGAAGAATTAATTATGAAATGATAATGGTTTATAGTGATTGCTGCCTCTTATCCAGACATTTTTCAATATCATCAAGAACCTGGACAGCTGCTTTAGGGATTCGAGTTCCTGGACCAAATATATTGGAAACGCCAGTTTCATACAGGTAGTCATAATCCTATTCAGGGAGAGAAAAAGACAGATCAACATATATAGATAAGATTTTGTTAGTAAAGTTCTGCAGAACGTGTATTGCAAGATGACACTTTCATGGTGACCTGCTGAGATGGCAGCAAGTGGGAAAACAACACAGTAACCATGGACTAGAAAATTGATGCTCTTATTACAAATTCTTTGAGTTTGCATAGTCATAGTGAGAATGCACTGCTTGAAGCCACTGAGAAGTCTGCAATTTCTAAGCAAGTATTAATCTAATCTAAAATTAAAAATCCTCAGAAAAGTGCATATTACCTCCTGCATAAGGCAGCTACCATGATTAGGAGGTCCACAACTATTAAAGTAAAAAATGCTCAAACAAAAAAAACTACTGAAAAAATAGGCTTTGTATTCAGTATAGTTTTACATTAGTTTCTTTGTTTATATATATTTAAAAATGATCTATGGGTACACTGTTGACTTAGAAGATTTTGTACCCAAAGGTACGGTATGTTCTCACAACTATGTAACTGCAAAACATTTTTCAAGGTAATTTAGTTAATGTGAGAGGTTGTTATACAGTTAGATATACTTTGTACCTTTAGTATTTTGAAAATATTCAACATCAGGTTCTTGGTATTATTTAACAAGATATAGTAGATGGGAAAAAATCCTTGAATGATATTAATAATTTGTAAGAAATGAAAAAGATAGAAAAATGTAAAAACAATCCACCAACCCACCACAAACAAATCACCCCAGATATAAAATAAAATTTCTCCCAAAGTTTATAATACTAAGAGGAACTGAATAATCTCCCAATTAGCCTGTGTCCTTAGATGTGCAATGTATGGTACTCAATACCTGAGGAGGGATGACACCTCCACACATGACAAGAATATCTGGGCGTCCAAGGTAATTTAGCTGTTTGATAAGTTCAGGAACAAGAGTTTTGTGACCAGCAGCTAGTGTGCTCACCCCTACACAGTGCACATCAGCATCTACAGCCTGCTGGGCCACTTCAAGGGGTGTCTAAGCAAGAAAGAGCAAATAAAGAATATGTAAAAATTAACAGTTTGTTTATTTTTCATATACAACAGCAGAACTAAAACACTGTATGAACTACTGCAGCAAATTGGTTCTTATTTTTCTAAAATCTTTTTTAAAATATATTCAATACTTTAGCATTTTCGAGTCACTTTGATCGGAGAGAATATAGATTGATTTAATCTGCCAATCAGAAAGCAAGCAACAAAACAATTAAAAGGCTAAATACCTGGAATAGTGGACCTATATCTACATCAAAACCAAGGTCAGCAAATCCTGTAGCAATTACTTTGGCTCCTCTGTCATGGCCATCCTGGCCCATTTTAGCAACCAGAAGACGTGGTCTACGACCTTCCCGTTCCAGAAACTTGTTAACTCTAAAAGAAATAAATAGCAGACAGAGTACTACAGAACCACTGAACATGTTCACTGTTAGTCGAAGAAAATATTAAAAAAACATTAAGGATGAAAATTGGAGATGTACACAAGCACCACACATGCATTGTAATGGCATGTTGAGGGCTGCCCTGCAAAAGAGGACAAGATTTTAAATGAGATATGTTTGAATTTTCTATGATTTATTATTTTCTTCCTCATACACATATCTTCAATGTAAGTGCAGGTAGACCCTGACGTACTACCATAATTAAGCTCCAAATTTCTGTTGTAAGCGAGACAGTTGTTAAGTGAATTTAGCCCCATTTTACAATGTTCTTGCCACAGTTGTTAAATGAATCACTGCAGTTGTTCAGTTAGTAATATGGCTAAGTTTCCCCATTGACTTTGCTTATTAGAAGATAGCAAACAGTGATCACATGACACTGGGATACTGTAACTATCATAAATATGAATCAGTTGCCAAGTGTCTGAATCTTCATCATTTGACCATGGCTATGGTACAACAGTCATAAGTATGAAAAACAGTGATAAATCACTTTTTTCAGGGCTTTTTTAACTTCAAATAGTCACTAAATGAACTGTTAAGTCAAGGACTACCTGTATTCTCCTCTGAAAGGAAAAAGTAAAGAAGGTTTGTTGTTTCTAGCTCCAGCTATGTGTGTATTATACAGTTTGTTGTATTAATTTTATACTGGTTGGTTTTTCATTCTTTGTTAATTACTAATATCCCCCCCCCAACCCGGAGTTATTGCTGTGTATTTTAAAAATAGTGCAGAATTGTGTCACTATTAAGGCAGCTGTAAATGCAATTGTTTTTTAAACTAATGAAGATAAAAATTGCTGAGGGTTTCTGTTCTTTTGGAACAAAGAAATAAAGCATGGTGCTCTAGTCGTTAAGGTGCCAGGCTTGAAACCTGGAGACTGAATTCTAATCCCACTTTAAGCCTGAGGGCTGGCTGGGTGATTTTGGGTCAGTCAGTCTCTCAGATCAATATACTAAACAGGATTGTTGTTGTAGGGAACGTAGGATGAGAAAGGAGTATTAGGTTTTGTTCACTGCCTTGAGTTATTTATGAAAGTAACAAAGGCAGAATATAAATAAATAATAAAGCAAAGGAAAAGGGGAGAAGAAGGAATAAAGGATTGGGTATAGACGGAATGAAAAGTAGAGACAGACAGAAAGAATAGGAAAAAAAATTGAGGAAACAGATGAAAGGTAGAGGAAGATAGCTGATAGAAAGAAATTTAGTGAAGAATATAAGCAGGAAAAAGAAGAGGCTTTAAGGAAATGAAGGGACACGGCAGTTCATGTCACACATATCCTGGAAACCATAGAGTTATTATTTCCAATGTACAGACATAACTTTGAATTGTGTAAACACTATGAGCATAAAATTACATGTACATTATCAGTTTATAGTTTTGAAACTGAAAATTAAGAAAATATGTTTTTAAAATCATATTCAAAATATAATTGGCTAAATTTTAATTTCAAAATATTCTTAAATCTCATTAGGAAAATGATAGATTATGAATGAATTATTAAACAATTAAACTAAAAAATAATGTGGAGTCCCTACATAGAAACATTAAACGTTCTTTAGATATACAGAAAAATACAAAGGTTTAAAGGTATTAGTGGATCTTACAAAATTTTGAAAAATTACATTTACTAAAGAAATATAATTAGCTTAAAGAATGGAAGAGAGAGAAAGAGACCTAAGATATACTGCTGGTAATCCTCAATATACAACCATAAGTTGTGCCAATCATTAAGTAAGTCACCATGTGAGTGTGCTCAATTTTATGAGCTCTTGCAGTGGTCATTAAGCAAACTCCATGGTTGCTAATTAAATGTGGTGGTTGTTAAGCAAGCCCATTAAGCCATTTTTCTTGGAAGATGGAATTAAACACCATTTTCAAGTTAAAAGGTCATAAATCAGTGTCACACTGCCAAACAGCTGTAAATATGGGCAGTTGCCAACCACGCAAAATGCAATCGTAAGATCATGCGGAGTGGCCATTGGAACTTTGAAACTGGATTGTAAGTTGCTTTTGGAGATCTGTCTTTGCTTCTCTAAGCAAGCAGTCGTAAGTCAAGGGAATTTGACTTTGGGAATTTGAACTCTTGGAAAATAAGACACATAAACACAAAGGAAAAGAGTACATGTCATACCTGCTGATGGCTTGAGTAATCTCATCACTCTCTCCAAATTCCTGACGGTAAGCACCACTCACCATGCGATCACTGGCTCTGTGCTCACCAAACACTTTTTTCATGGCATCTGTTATTTCACCAACTGTACATCTGAAGCAAGTATACAATCAAAACATTAGATTTATTTCTTTTGAAGATGCATAAACTATCACAAATACCATTAGCAAAATATGTATGCTTGTACTATAGCAGTATGCTGTACAAATAGCATACTTATTCACGTTTTCCAGTTCAATATTTAAAATTATAAATTTTATAATGATTTTTGTTCAAAAATGCAAGGAAATATATGCTCCTGCTTCTCATCTCCCCCCTCCTGAAAATGCTCCCTCCCCGATGTAGGTGGGCTAATAGATGCCTAACCTGGGGTCACTCAGTGAGCGTCTCTGGATAAGGATGGATTTCTGCTGTTAATCCACACCTTTATTGCTAAATCACTCTGCCTCCTAGTTCAGTTTTGTGGGATTAAATACTCTCAAGGAGAACTGTTTTTGAAGTGATTAACAGAAATTTACTGTTTTCAGCGGAAGGCATTACAACGAATAGCATGATTGAGATATGTGATTATATCAGTTTCTCAACTACAGTATGGGCTTCTTGTGTAGGCTTTCATGTCAACATGGTGGTAGGCATTCAGAATTGCATGGGAATAAATTAAAGCTAGGTTTTAGCACATCCAACTACTAAATCTAGCCTGGTGCCTTAACCACTAGACCAAATTATTTTGTATATAATCTCATATGTCTATGGAGATTCTCCATGGAGAGTCATGGTTATTCCAAAGGTGTGTCCCCCGCTCCCCCAAGACAACTGGGCTTTGTTTTTCCTTGAAGATGTTTCTCTTCTCATCTAAGAAGCTTCTTCAGTTCTGCAGTAATCTCTTCAGTATACATTTTTGGAAGCAATGGACACATTGGGTATTCTAAGCATATTCTAGTAATTTATCTCCATGTTCCTTCATACCACGAAAACCCTAAGTGAACCTCAGGTGCTTTGCAGATTGAGTGCAGAGAGGCACTGTGCCTCTCAAGTATACAACTCCACTATGAAATAAAAGTGTAGCTCTAAATGGAAGGAGGAGCCTACGTTGCTATGAAATGGTCGCCCGATCTCGATGCTCCGAGATCCCCGCCAATACTTTTATCGCTGGGTGGTCCAATCGGACATAAACCATAGAGACGGGGAATAGGAAGACTACGTTCTGCTGATCACAGAGACATCACAAAGTCACTGATTGATGCAGGAGAAGGTCTCTCAACTGACATTAAAAGCTCAGTCCCCAATCTGACAAAGTACGGATGGCTCCAAAATGGAAGGAAACGGAAGAAAAAGTGTTTACAGCTGGTGAGGAATTTTTATCCGTTTTAAAAGAGCCTGCCTATAAAAAACTTAAAGCTAATTTAAATCTAAGAAAAGAAATAAGTGGCGGAATTAAGCTTTGGATGGTTTTGTCAGTGTGTTATCTTAATTTTTAAACATTATTTTCATGGATGGAATTTATGCAAATCGTTTGAAATGAATGGATCCAGTTTTCTTCTTCTATAATTTTAACTATTATTTTCACAACCTACGGACTAAACTTCTTATTCATCACTACATGTGTCTTTTACTCTTTCTTCTCTATTTCATGTAAGAATTTGACTTTTTTTAATTTGGAATATTAAAAGATACAAAAAGAACAAAGAGAATTGCAACAATTGTAACAAAGCGAGAGATAACACTGCTACTCAAAGACTGGAAACTTGAGTATTGAAAACAAAATACTTTTACTTTCACTACTGATTATTCTGGTCTGGAACTTTAAAGTATCAGTTTGTTTATAGAAAGTGATAAGAAGTAAAGCACCATTTGTTTATACAAATGTTCCTTTGAAGTATATCCTTAACCAGAGATTTCATGGTGAACCTAGGTATAACCTTGTAAAACTCTTCCTAGTCAGAGCAGCAGTGTTTTAACAGTTGGAAACAATGGCTTATTTCCAACAACAGAGAGAAACTGTCAGCTTGCAAGACATGATGTTTGCAATACAGAAACTATCAAATACATTTGAGAAAATGTTTGAAAAATTAGAGCACCTAACAGAAAAATATGATGAAAAGGATGGAGATGCTTATCAAATGGGAAAAATAGAGGGTGAAGCCCAAGCAATAAAGAGAAAAATGACTACAAAGAAATCAAATCTGCTGACATCTATGGTGAATGGTTTCTGTCTGGAAATGGAAAAAGTGGAATATGGAAAGGGGAACTAGATGGATGGGAACCCTACCCTAGATGGCAAGACACAGAAGAAGAAAAAATAAAAGAACTTATGGACTTAAAGGGAGAAATTTTATTAGTAACACCATCGATAACAACATTGACAATTAAAGACAAGCTGATTAAGGAAAAAAAAGAAGGGCATTGAAATTACATGAGAGAATTAATAAACAGTGAGTTGCAAAGAAGGGCCCATACAAACTTGATTGAGACGATTAGAGAGGACTGTTGCCACAAATGGCAAAGACATGAGCCTGTTTCGCTACTGGAAAGATACAGGCTGATAGATGAAAGTGTTTAATTTAAAACTAGTTGGACTTAGTGAAATTTAGTGACAATAGATATGGTTAAATAAACAATTGAAATGATAATAATGTATACATATGTATTGGTATAAGAAGTAGTAATTGGATATGAATATTGAATGGTACCTATAAAAGGAAGATGAAAAATGGTTTGGTTACATATAAAGATTAATAAAAAAGAACTAAATTATGATAATGGATATAGTCAAATAAAGGAGAGATAATGATAACAATGTATATATAGGTATGTGTATAACATGGGAAAATTGGATGTAAATTGTAAACGGTGATTTGGAAAGGAAGATTAGAAACCTTTGTTACTAAATGTTATTGATGTTTAGCTAGAATAGGCCATAAGGAATAGTGTTATTGGGATACTAGAAATAGCAAATGAGATGCCAGTATGTGGCTATGTCTTGCATTTTGGTATGTTTTATGATGAAGGACGTTTAAACAATTACAGTCAAACGAGAATGGGGGTAGGATGATGGTAATATGTACAAATATATTTGATTTAAAATACTAGAATTAATATGAAACATGGGTGACTGTGAAAGAAACGCACAAAAAAGTTTTGTAATCAACTGATACACTTTCTACAGTATGTAAAGAAAGAGGATTTTTTTGTGTTGTGTCTGTTTTGAAAAATAAAAAAACTTTTAATAAAAAAGTGTAGTTCTAAAGTCCACTTAGTTATTTGATAAATGTACACATTCCTTTCCACCTACCTTGCACGTGCTGCATCTACTGCCAGGGCCAGCAAGTTACCTTGCCTTGTAGCCGCACATTCAGTTAAAGCAGTGAGGCATTTTTGGGCTGCTACTTCATCTCTGCAAGCTTTCACCTTTAAGGGGAAGTATGAAAAAAAGTAATATTGTACACTACTAATCCCAGCCCATTCAGTGTATAAGACGCACCCAGATTTTCAGCCTCTTTTCTGACGGAAAAGGGTGCATCTTATACTCTGAAAAATACAGTATGTTGATGAAAAAAGACATATTGAACCTCTCAGTTACAAAATATGTATGAAACTGGGGTTTGAAGCCAAGCAATTCAGTTTCAATCACAAACCAAAAGGTTGCTAAGTTTGCAAATCAACTGCTCTTAAACTGCTAAAACTATTGGTCCTTGACTTACAACCATAATTGAACCCAAATTTTGTTTTGCCCCATGTTATGACATTTTCTTGCCACAACTGTTAAGTTAATCATTGCAGTTGTTAAATTAGTAATATGGTTGTTAAGTGAATTTGGCTTACCCATTGACTTTGCTTGTCAGAAATTTGCAAAATATGATTACATGACCTCAGGACACTGCAACTGTCATAAATATGAACCAGTTGCCAGGCTTCTGAATTTTGATCATGTGACCATGGGGATGCTTCAAGGTCATGTGAAAAATGTTCATAAGTCACTTTTTTAAGGGCCATTGTAATTTTGAATGGTCACTAAATGAATGGTTTTAAGTTAAGGTTTTATGGTTTTAACCTGTAGGCATAAATTCTGAGATTCTTAACCTGTCCAATATTGAGGCCCATTAAATAATCAATAAAATATGTAGATTTTACTATTTTTAAAATCAAAGCCATCTTCAGAATATTAGTTTTCCTTGTATCTAATGTATTACAATTGATTTGGAGTGTGTCCAATTTTTATCAATTTAAAAAACCAAATTACATGATTTCCCAGCATTTATATTCATTCATTTTAACTTTTTTAAATATTAAAGTGTTATATGTATTGTGAATCCTGACCACTACCTATCAACTATACACTTTTCACAAAAAATAACAAGCTCCCATGAAATGTGCTGAGATATATCTGAATATAATAAGGAAGCCATTGTTTCCTATAGTTTCTATAGTTAATTAAAACATGTTACTTCTCATTAGAGTTGTTCTGAGCTATTGTTTTAAACTAGACTAACCTTTTGTACCTTACTATAAAGCCATATTATAGATGGCTAAAATCTAAGGTTTATTTCATGAATTATGCAACCATGTTCTTCAAAGCAAATTTCTGTTTAACAATGGAATGTAATGGAATCCTGCCTTCAAAATAATTTCAAACATCCAAAACAAGTTTAGTCTTTGCACAATAATTTGTTAAGCTATTTGAGTCATTCCCTATACCACGTTCTTGAAGATCAGTTTTAGTTGGCTGTTAGGTTCAAGGTAAATAAAATATGGGGGGGGGGGAAGCAGACAAATGTCTCAAATGTTTATAACTCTGAGTTCAGATTTAAGTGATCCAAAATAAGCCACTGTCTCCCACAACTGTTTATTAGTTCATCTGCTGAAATGTTACAGGATATTTACAAACATTTCCAATATTTGCAAAACTGATCTTAAAACTAGAAAATGTAAGAGATAGATAGTGCTTTAAGCAGCGGTGAAATTCATTTTTTTTTACTACCGGTGTGGCTTGGTGGGTGTGGCAGAGGAAGGATACTGCGAAATCTCTATTCCCACCCCACTCCACGGGAAGGATATTGCAAAATCTCCATTATCACCCCACTCTGGGACCAGTCAGAGATAGTATTTGCCGGTTTTCAGAACTATTAAAATGTCTGCTACCGGTTCCCTAGAACCTGCTGAATTTCACCCCTGCTTTAAGGTATTCATAGGGTGATCTTCAGCAAAATAAGGAATAGACAAACATCAGTACTGAAAAGCTGCTTCTTTCAAGTTGTATATATGAATATTATACATAGTAATAACATGCAATATGTGTAAACAACACTCTTGGCGTTACGGGGAAGGGGAATCAGATTTTTTGCACGTATTTACTATAAACCTGCACTGTAAAAATCAGATTCCATACATTTACAGTCTTCTGGAAACTTCTGTAAAAAAGACCAGAGCTGTGATAGCTGGAGCTAAGAGACTGTACTAGAAATCTCCAACACAAACCTCAACCCTAAATAAAGAACAGATTAAGATAGTTCATATAAAACACTCTTTAAAAAGACTATGAAGCATTATTTTTTTTAAAAATCATCTGTTGCTGAACAATTTGACTATAACCCTATTCCTAAGCACAACTCAGTTTTTGTTGAGAAAATGAAAAACAAAACATCTTTTCTTCTTCTTAAAAGAACTGCACAGCATTTACCTTTATCAGCTTCTCAATTTGTTTGTTACGGACTGATGTATTATCAATTGCCAAAACTTCAACAGTCTCTTCTTTTTCTAATTGGTATTTGTTTACTCCAACAATTACTTCTGAACCTGTTATTTTTCAAATATTTTTTTAAAAATAATGTTTGTTATTCTGTACATGCAGTCAGCTGAAATGAGTTCACAAAGTGAAATCAGTTCAAATACACATTCAATATAAAATAACTTTTACACACAGACCCACATTTAGAGAAGCTAAGTCATTTTCAATGTACAGTGCATTCAGAAAGCATTCAGACTCCCTTCACTTTTATCTATTTTGTTATGATGCAGCCTGATTCTACAGTTGCTGAAATTCATTTTTTTCTCATTAATCTATATTCAGTACCCCATAATGACTGAAAACAGAATTTTAGAAATGTCTCTACATTACTAAAAAGAAAAAAATATTGAAATATCACTTTGGCATAATAATTAGACCCTTTACTCAGTACTTTGTTGAACCACCTTTGGCAGAAATTACAGCCTCAGGACTTTTGGGTACGAAGTGACAAGCTTTGCACACCTGGATTGGGGAATTTTCTGCCAATCTTTCTTGCAAATCCTCTCAAGCTCAGTCAGGTTAGATGGCAACCATCAGTGGACAGCCATTTTCAGGTCCCTCCAGATATGTTCCATAGGGTTCAACAGGGCTCTGGTTGGGCCACTATAGGGCATTCACAGAATTTTCACTAAGCCATTCCTGTGTTAGGATCTTTGTCATGTTGTCATGTACTTTGCTTCATTCAGCTTTCCCTCAACCGGTCTCCCAGTCCTTGCTGCTGAAGAACACCTCCACAGCACAATTCTGCCACCCTGCTTGATTTTTGGGAACATATTGGGCAGGTGACGAGCGGTGCCTGGCTTCTTCCAGTTATAACATTTAAAATTGAGGCCAAACCGTTCAATTTTGGTATCATAATATCAGAGAATATTTTTCCTCATGGTCTGAGAGTCCTTCAGGCCAGGGGTGGGTTCCTAAAAGCTGAAAAAACAGTTCGCTTCACGTGCGTTTTGCCCATGTGCTCTCACTTCTCTCGCTGACTGCTGAATTCCCATAACTATTCTACTTCAAATAATGTTTGTGCACATATAGTAAGTGTAGTTGGAATTTGGATTATATATCATATATATAATGGAAAAGTTAGAAGAAATTTATGTGACTGTAATTTACAGAACAAAATAATAATATAGCTGTCTAACCACAATCACTTCAAGCATATTTAAGTCTTGCAGAGCAATTATATGTTTTGTCTTAATAAATTATTGAGCAGGAAAGGAGCCAAATAATTACTTAAGTGAACTTAAATGCTTTGGTCTGTCCAAGAAATTTGAGGATGGGAGTGGGAAACAGTCTTTATTCTTCTATTTAAAAGTTATGCAATATAGAAGACTGCTTGAGAAATATGAATAGTCTCCTTGGTCATACAAAACTAACAGCAGTCTTCATGCTAAATAATACAATGTTCCAATGCTCTTCTTTTATTCAAAATATTGCTAAAAGCCAAAATGTCTTCACTGTTTTACATTTATTTTGGAATAGAAGTTAAAAACATACAGAAAGTTGAAATCAAATTCTTATTATTCATGCACATATATTAACTTCAGTGAGATAAGAGAAGACCTTCTAAATGCTTACATGGTTGAAGAATAAATAATTTTGATTTCCTTACCAGAATCAATCCTGGCTTGTCTTCGAGCAGCACATTCTTCAATGTGAAGTTTTGGTATTCCTTCAGCTACAGCTTTGGCCATTCCACCCATCTCCTCAATCTCATTGATGAGCTAACAAAGAAAAGTTGTTAATGACTATAAGTGTGCTTATTATCTAATATTATATTTATTTAATAAAATTTCTAGGCTCCCTAGTACATAAAAATTAATTACCAAAAAGGAAAAAAATAAGAACCCTCTTTAATAAAGAAGTAGTTAATATAAGAAAATACATTTCCTAATTCTTAAAAGGATTGATGTCCCATGATAGTTTAAAAGTAGCTCAAACTCAAAATGAAAGAACTTAAAAGTTCTTCTACAAATGGTGCACACCTAACCCCCAAATTCAACATATTAAGTATGTTCTTAACTGGTTTGAAGTAGAGAGGCTAGACATCGCAACGACACGACATGCAATCTTGGGGCTCCAGGATTACTGTCGATATCTCTGTTCCTGGATGGTCCTTTTTGACCTAAACTGTGTTGAAGGAACAGTGATAGAGAAGAGCATGTCCTGCTGATCTCAGGGACATTGCAAAGTCCCTGATTGATCCAGGAGAAAGCTCTTTTTTGCCAGCTACAAGAGAAGCAGTCAAAATGGCTGCAGAAGGTTGGGACAACTCCTGAAACAGAAGCAGTACAGGAGAGACAGTGTGTCAAAATGATGAGAAAAAAATGTATTATTAGAGAAGGGAAAACTCAAAAGACTTGAGAGTTTAAAATAAAATTGAAGACAGAAGAAAATAAGTGGCGAATTAACCCTGGTTCAAAACTATCATGTTATCTTTTCTACCTTAACCTTGTTTGTTTTCTATGGATGGACTTTTTACAAATGCCTCTTACTTTTAACTGGACTGGTCTCTTTTTTTCCTTATTCCTCTATACTTTTTCAATTTTTTGTATTGGGTTAAAAGTTTCTTCTCTCGTAAGGCTTGGTCGGAACGTAATTTTTAAACATTTTTTTCTCC